ACTTAGATATTAAAGCAATTTTGGGAATTTATTTTAAGAAATTACCAAGTATACAGAAATATCAACATTTTCTTTTTGAAGCATCTAATTTTGGTACAGTGAAAGTTCAAGAAGTTGCTAATGGACCTTTTACTGAATTCAATTTATTGAAAATCAAGAAAGCAGATATTTTTGAAGAGATTAAAGCTTTATCTATTTTAGTGTTAACACCTCCTCCTTTGGACTATAAAAGACAAGAATACCTTTATAATAACATTCACCCATTTGTAAAGGATGAGTTTAAAGACATCACTTGTCCCAAGCCAGCATAAAATGTAATTGAATAATTTTTATACTAGATAAAAAAGGTTAGATGTCATAATTAACTTTTATTTTTCCTAATTTTAATTATTTTGATAACTAAAACAACTAGGGAGACAAATAGTATTCCACAACCAACCATTCAGTAAACTTTCTCTCTTTTATTCTTATTAAGTTGGTTTTCTAATTGAGTTCGGGGAGTTTTACCCCATTTTTGATAGTAGGCTTCCGGGTCTCTTATTTTTTCAGCCATTCTTTCATCTTCCATAGTACCTAGAAATTGATTGTCTTTTACAGGCCTGTAATGTCTTCAAAATTTTCTTGAATCTAGGAGCGAAGTATACTGAAAATTCAGATGAGGGATAATTTTTACTATAACTTGAAGGGCATTTCTGATTCTTTTATCAAAATTTCTGCAGCTCTTTGGTTAATTTCTCATCTTATTACGGCATCAGTAGTAAAATTTTCAGCAGATGCCATTTTTTGTATAAGTTCTTGACAAACTTCACCAATTTGATCTCAAGTTTCTTGATCTACAGCATTGATATCATTAGGTAAATGATTTTTGGTGAAGACAACTATACCTCCTATTTCATTGTGTAATCTTGCAGATACTTTGCTCTTTTCTGGAACAATATTATCTTCTGTTGGTTGAAAGATTGTATTTGCTTGTTCAGTGCCCTCCTGAGAAAAAGCTTTTCATGATACTCCTTAATTCCCCTGCTTCCATAAGCTTCTTTATATTTAGGAACAATTCGCATATAAAAATGGGGTGGGTTTTGGGAAGCAAGCGGCCCTATTGGTACACTTACTTTATAGCCTATTGGATTATATGCTTTATTGATTTTATTAATTGTATCTTTAAGTACTGGTAAAATATCTGCTCATTCTTCTCTAGTTATTTCTTTGAAGTTTTCTGCATGGCGTTTGGTGCACAGTGCTGCATGACCTTTAGAATTTTGTCTTAAAACTACTCCAGAGGTTATGGTGCCTCCAAAATCAGAGATTCAAGTTTTAAGCATTCCTTTTTTATGTGTTACCATTTTGTCACACATATGACAAACTATTTCACCCTTTGCTGTGCTTTTGGGACAAATGTAACTGGGAGTGTTGTCATCTTTTCAGGAAAAATGCTTATCTTGTTCACCTCTTTTAATATCTTCTTGGAATTACGACATTGAGAACATTTATGTCCTCTACTGTCTTCATAAGCAGTAACATCTCAGTCCAATATGATCTTACACTGATTACAACATATGATAATTCTGTTTCATCTCCCATCCCCTTTTTGGTTAATAACTCTGTACTTAAAAGGTCAATCAAAATTTTCTTTATTTTTAACTTTAGTTAAGGTTTCTCGAAAGATCTTTTTCTTATTGCGTTCTCATTTTGCACATTCATCTAATTCTTTTTGAATTATGTTTTCAGAACAATCTCAACAACAGAATTCTTTATGTTCTCTATCTTCTTCATCTCATCAATTAATTTCTAATCCTTCTTTAGTTTGATTACAGTTAAAACATTCTTTTTTGGTCATGATTTTTTTATTTAAACTAACTTTTTTATAAAGTGTTTTACAAAAAAAAAAAAAAAAATCAGTGTTCAATCATGAAAGAGAACTCTTTAAATCATGGCTAGAATGGGACATTAGTATTGGTTTTAGAAATCTAGTTACTCATTGAGAAAATGCCAAAAAGGAAAAGATAAAATAGATAAAATAGATAATAAATTTGTTCCTATTATTTTTCTTCTAGAGATCTTGGCTTTTTGTTGGGTAATAATGCATCATCATGATGTTTTCTTTTTCTAATACTTATTATTTTTCTTTCTTCTTGGTAAATTTCATAGGTGATTTTTTCTTTCCTTAGATAAGCTTCCAGTGTCTGAGTATCATTCATTTTGAAAATGTAAGGAGCAATTTTTTCACCTTGTTCCTTTTTCAAAATACTTCTGATGGTGCTATAATTCTTGGGTTCCATAGTAGATCGGATGTAAATGAGTTTCATATTAACTATTTTATCTAGAGACAAAATGAAATATCGTGATCATATTACATTGTAATACAATTGTGATGTTAAACATTATTGATCCCTGAAATTTTTGGTAATACCAATGTTCACTTTGTCTGGTTTTGTTGCAGCATGCCCCATATAATATATATAATATATATAATATATAAATAATTTATTAATATATATTAGAAATCTTAAAATTTAATACATGTATCTGAATAATTTAAATATAATAAAAATCATACCTAAATTATCAAATAAAAAAGCCAACTGACACAAACTACAATATACTGATTGTGAGTTTTGTTGAATCAAACAATGTTAAACTTCTGATCTTATTTGGAAACCCTGACATGGAATCTTTGATGATTACCCCAATAGGAAAGGATACTATGAGTACATTAAAAAATACCACCTTCAATAGATAGCTAGGTTCTGCTTGTGTTGGTACTAGCCACATTGATGCTTGAGAAAAGAAGAAATTTTCAAAATTAGAACCAGAAACATGAATTGTGAGAGACATCCAACCCAAACTGACTTGATTGTTAGAGGCTCTTATTCCAACCATGAAATCTTGGACAAGTCAAAAGTCACAACCCTACCTTTAAATTTGATAACTATGTCTCCCTTTTTCAAAGCCTTCCTTGGATTTTCTGCACCTTGATGATGGCCAAAGACAAATGGATCCATTTGCATAAAATGGAAACACAATACTAAGCAATCATCTATTGCACATCTATCTACACTACTGAAATATGACAGAACAAGTTTTGGATGGTGAATTAGGGCATTTCTTCAAACATGATAAATTTCAAAACCATGGAATGATGCACAGCTTTACCTACATGGAAAAAAGAAACATCTCACTTAATGCAATTCATGCAGACATTCCATCATAGAAAAACATTGTATAATTTGGTCATGAAGTATTAGATTACACCATTGTAACCATCAAATGGAGAACCATGTTCCCTCAGCCACAATTAGACAAATCCTATTGCTCACTCAATGTCTATTGCCATGTAAAGCATGGTCATCCCTGATATGGAATGGTCACATAAATTTTCAATATGTGATGTCCATAGGATTTTGTGAAATACATTACAAATCTGACAAATACTGAAAACATATTGCGAGCGTGCAATCTGAGTTTCCTATTTAATAGGTTATTTATAGCTCAACACACAGCCTCCTCGCTGACTTACGGTCGATTCTATTGTTTGACACACAGCCTACTTGCTGATTTACAGTCAATTTCCACTATTTATATATATATGACACACAGCCTACTTGCTGACTTACAGTCAAAAATATAACTTTTATCTTTTCAGATAAAAGGGTCCCTAGGTTCTATGTAAATGATTATATCCCAAAGGCGTCCCCTTGAGATGTCTCTTGATAGTTAAGATACTGGTTAACTGCTATGGGTCGCAAAGGTTTCCCCTTTGTGGTTTATTAATTAGTTAAAGGTTATTATTTTCAGGGTAAAATATGTTATGTGTTTTATTAGTGATAATAATATTATTATTATAGTGTATTAGGAAATATTAATTATTAGATCAATAATTAAAAGATTGTTATGAACATGATTTTTCTGACTTAGTCTAAAACCAAGTCCTTTTATACCTCTTGGGGTATTACAATAACATGACTTTTACTCTAGTTTGTCCAATAAACTATGCTTATTAATATAAAATAAATATTTGGGTCAACTGATCATTACAAATAATAATTAATAATTTAAAGTAAATATTTACATCAGCTGAACAAATTCTTGAAATATAAATATAGAAATATGAATATGAGTAATTGTGCGTGTGATACTGCGCAATGTGTGGCACAGTAATTCACAAAATATAACGTTAAAAATAAAAATAGAAATGATTTGATTTTCACGTGACTTCCGTAGTAATTTGGTTTGGTTGGATCGGCAACGTGGGACCTCTCTATCGGTCCTCATTTTACTATCTCACAATATCATGATGAGGATGATACTTTGCTCCAGTACCTAGTAACCAGATATTCCACTAATTCTCTTTTGCACCCTCTGAATACCATCTGAGATCTGTGAAACTGATGCACTTGCTAAATAAGAAAATTGACATTGAAAGTGATGAGAGGAGTGGTGAGGACAAGTAATCCTTGCTGTAATGAGTTAGATTCATCATTAAGGTTTGAGCATCTTGAGCTTCTGATGAGGCTTCATTTAAAGAAATACTACTCCTTTTTTACTTCCTCTTCATAAATTATTTATTTTTTAGTATGGGTTTGAGAACTAACATATTTAAAGATGATGGATTTGATGATGATGTTTCTAGTTTAATGTAGGACTACAATATAACAATCATGATTGTTGTGATCTTTTAATTCTGTATCAATAGTATATTTTTTTGATAAGTTAAATAAGTGAGTTAAAATCTGATAAATAAAAGGAAAAACATGTTTATCTCTAGTTCAGGATTTATTCAGCCAATTAATTTATTTTCTTGCAAAAATAATCCAGAAACCTGTCCTATTAAAGCTGTGTTGACTTCAAAGAAAGGTTCATCAAAGCCTTCTATGCCATTAATGAATTGAATGGAATTGGTGCAATACAAATGTGTCCAGAGTCATATTGCCATATTTTTCTTTTAATAATATTTCCAAGGAAGACAAATTATTGTCAACACTTGAGTTGTTAACATTTACAAATTGAAGCTGATTACCATCTGACATTTTAATGAATTTAAATTTTATTCTTAATTAATTATGACAAAAACATATCATTTAATCATGATGTTGACTAGAAATTACTTGAAAATAATTCTACATGGAAGGTTTAAATAATGATTAAAGAATACATTAATTAGTATAATTTAGGATTTTAAAGAAATCGGAGAACTAGATGATAGAACCTCTAAAATGTATAAATACGTTGTAATTTCTCTTTCATGTAATCTTTAATTTTAATAAACTCAAAGTTTTTTAGCAAACTCAAATATTATTATAATAAATAAACCTTGACCTTGACCTTGTCTTTGACCTTGACCTTGTGGTCTTCGAACATTATATTTTCGTAATGATAATAAATCTATCCCTAACGACGAATTTATACTAATCCCGTGCATAATTATTTTCTCTTATTTTATATTTGTCTCTATTAATTTTATTATTTTTTATTTCTTTTCTTTTCTTTTAGTGAGATAATATTAATAAACCTTATTTAGTAGTTTTGGAGACGTACCTGACTTGGTAGTAAAGAGGAAAACGGCTAGAAAGGCACCCACCAAGAAACGTGATCAGGATACATAGTGTAAAATCTAAAAAAGATATTGTTTAGTATTTCTTAGTATAAGAAATTGTTTAATGATAATAAAAGATAGTTTTGAGAGTAAAGCATAAATATACATTCGCGGAAATTGTTATTACGATTTAGTATAAATAAATGGGAAAATTGTATCGGCATGTCATCATAAATAAAAATCAAGAGATTTGTGTGAGACGCGGATTTTGATCTCACAGTATCAACTGCTATGCAGATTGTTTTCACTTTGCTCACTACCTATTTGTGTACTGAATTTTGTTTTCTTGATATGTCTATCTACCTTGTATACTTCTTTTATTTTCTACTTTGCTCTCTGTACCTTTGTTTTCATTAAGCTCCACTTCATTCTGCTTCTTTCTTGCTATGCTTAAATGATGAAAACTACTTTGATCTCTATACCTTGTTTATAAATACTATGACAAATTTTTGTTTCTTTGATGCGGCCTGGAACATATTTCACATCACATTCTCTATGTGACCTAGAAAAAAATTAGTATACTATGGTATAAAACTTAATTATGTTGAACTGGTGTGAAATTAGCCTCTGAAACACTTGGTGGATATAAATGATATAAAAAAACTAGTAAAAAATATGGTCTCTGTCCAGAATCAGTAAAAAGACAATGTTTTGCTCACCTTCATCAGCAATACCTTCCCATGGGTTCACAATAATAACTCAACACATATAACATCTTTGATCTTTTTCTTTTAGTATTGGTATGTTGACATTAATGTGGCTCACATCAATCAATCCTTTCTTTTCTAGAACTTGCTTTCAATATCAGAATCAATAACTATGTTTAAAAAAAAAATCATTTAGATTAATTTATAAGAATCTAATTTTCATTTTTTATTAAATAATTTTATTGAAGAATCATTGTTTTTCTCAAGTTGTATTTCTCCTAGACTTTTTGTAATTGAAATTTATCATCATAGAAAAAATCCATTTTCTGAATATCTTGTTCAATTTTTTCGTAATGTCAATAAAATAATTAGTAATGATCAAGTGCATATCTCACAGTAAATGAAATTCAAAGTTCACCTTCATTTCTGCTAGAGTTACTATTCGTAAATTTGTAATGCAAATTCCTATTCGAATCATTCATAATATACAACTCTTTTATTTTGAATTATCCGTTTTTATTTTACTCAAATCATTCGTTTTATTTTGAATCATTCGTTTTTATTTTGAATCATTCGTTTTTATTTCGAATCATTTGTTTTATTCAAATAGAAACTCTAGTTCTGGTCAAGTGGAAGGTATTCTTTCCAGCTGCACATGTACTATTATTGCAGGTGAGTTCTGTCCAAGTGTATCAGTTTTCTTTCCAGCTTCATATGCTCAAAAAAAAATCAAAAATAGAAATATACTAATTTGAGGCATCATTACAAGCAATATAGTAAAATTAAAAAGGGTTCCTAACTAATAGTTAAAGGTTGGCCAAACCATTAATCATCAGAAAGGGTTATGAATCAACCAACTTTATTGATAATTACAATTTTTATTATCAAATGTATATTATTAAAAAATCGAAGGAAATTTTTAAGTGTATTTATACAGTGTGTTTCAAAAAAAAGGGCGCGCACAATGTAAATTCATTTTGAAAATTTTGAGATGAATAAAAAATTTTTCACATGATGAAAAA